CAGTTCTGAGAGGACAATTTATAGCAATAAATGTCCACATTCAAACAGAAGACCCAAAATCAATACATTAGTACATATCCAACAATTAGAAAAAGACCAGCGATATAAGCCTACCATCACCAGAAGAAAAGAAATAATAAAGATTAAAGCATGCACACACAAAAATAAATTAGAAAAAGGAAAACAATAGACATAATCAACAAGACAGAAAGTTTGTTCTTTGAAAGGATTAATAAAATTGACAAACCACTAGCAAATCAAACAAAAGAAAACAAGGAGAAGATGCAAATAACATGCATAAGAAATCACATGGAAACTTCAGAATCTGCTCATACTTTGCCTCATGTGTCTCTACTTTATGCTGATCCTAATTGGTATCCATTGGTTATACTAAATCTGTCTTTGTAAGGGCTGTACTTTCTGTGAGTTCTGGGAATCATTTCAGAAAATGATCTAACCCAAAAGATTTGCAGCTTTGGAAATCCTTGGAAATGGGAGTCAGCAGGTAAAAGTGAGAAAAACCAGGGGAGGCCCTTGAGTTTGTAGTTGGCATCCAAGTCTGTGGCCAGCAAGACAGAAATAGGGGTTTCATGTGAACTCTGAACTTGTGTCTGGCATCTACCTATTTGGCTATCTTAAAAGTGGTGTCTTCAATTTGATTAACTTGACCTACACTTATGGATGCAGTAGCTCAAAAGAAGGAACAAGTCTTTACAGCAAGGATCATTCCTACCCCCTCCATAAACAGAGTAGACAGGGATGGGCAACTTGGACATTGGCTACCCAAAATGGGGGGGCTACAAAGGCAAGAAGTGACTGACTTACAAGCTTTCAAGAGGGAGCCTAGATCCAGATGGCACGGAGGAAGTTAGACTCTCCACTGAGTAGTATCCAATCTGTCTAGGTGGGGCTGATGAAAGGAGATGTGGATAGGTCTCTTGTGGTACAATCGTGAATAATTGTTATCAGGAACGACTGTGAGGGTTGGGAATGTAAAGGTGGACATTCTGTAGCAAAAGAAGGGGAGTGATTGACTTTGCAGTCCAGGAGCGGAGGTCCCTGGGACCATCAAGGGAGAAGAGAGGAGAGCAGGACCCTACCCAGAGAAGCAGTCATGCCAGAGAATGAAGCAGAGATGATGACCTGGAAAGATGGAGCAGCTGGGAACTCTAGACCCAGAGAGGGAGAGGGGCTGTGTGCTGATGACAAGGGGGGGGGGGGGCAGGCTTGCAGGGTATACCCTTTGGTTGTTTGATGTTGCATGGAGGGGATTGTAACCATGGCGATGAAACGATGTACGAATATAAAACTAATGTTCTCTCATGTAAAAAAAAAAAAAGTGGTATCTTTGCGATTTGTGAGACCTGACCTAGCTCTGAGTGGCTCGAGTCAAAGGAAAAAGCGCCACATGGGGAGTTGGTGTCAGACCTGAACAGGGAGATGGAGAGTGGGGACTCATTATATCGTCATAACTGGGAACAGGTAGTGTGGTTCTGAGATTGTCACACAGCACAGATGGCATGGGAAGGCTGGTTTATTATCCTCCTCACAAGCTCCTTTCATTTCCAGAATAATCCTGGTTGGTCCCCCTAAGGACGGTGCATTTGATAAATATGAGGTTGAAGGGAAATGGCAGAAATAGGAGGTTGGCTCCAGAAACAGGCAGGAGCCAAATCACACAAGACCCCAAAGTTCCCCTTAAATACAATTAACCCTAGCTTCAGAGGTAAGAATAAAACCGAGAGTGGTGGAGATGAAATGGAAAGCTACGTCCTGCCTACCTAGAAGCCTTTGCTCAGTCATAGCTTCATGTGGCCAAATATTCCAATTTTTCAAGAGAAGTCAGAAATCTGGATTTTTCTCAGGAATCTCCCAACTTTAAAATATTAGCAACTCATCAAAAACAAACAATCAAAACTATGTGGACTAAATAAACCCCATGTGAAAGCTGGATTGACCCACGTGTTACCAGTTTAAAATCTTTTCTAAAATGTTCTGGTGTGTTGCTGTAGGATAGCGCTAGACCACAAAGTTCGTTTGAACTCATAATGTCGGTGGTTCAAACTCACCGATCGCTCCTTGGAAAACTTATACAGGGTCGCTATGGGTCAGAACCAGCTCCATGGCACAACAACAAACAAACTGTAATTGGTTGAGTGCCAAGGATTTACCCCTGAGAAATCTACACCACCAGGAAGCAAATCTAATCTCCTAAGAGTTGTTGTTAAGTGTCGTTGAGTTGTTTCCAACTCATAGTGACCCTGTACACGCTTTGGTTCGCCGACCTTACAGTCCAGAGCGCCACACCAGGACTTTAATCTCTTAAAAGAGGGAGGGGGGAAATGCCTCTCTAGGAGTCCTGGTGTGGCATTGTGGGTTTCGACACTGGACTGCTAAGTCAGTTTGAACTGCAAGGTCAGCAGTTTAAGCTCACCAGCTGCTCCAGAATCACTACGGGTCCAAACCGAATGGACAACACTTAACAACAAATATTATAGAGTATAGGAGCACTAGAAGCATAGTGGGTTATGAGTTGAGCTGCTAACTGCAAGGTTAGCAGTTCGAACCTACCAGCTGCTCAGAGGGAGAAAGGTGAGGATTCTGCTCCCGCTGTAGGATAAACACTGGAACCACTGTAAACTAAGTTTGAATTCAGAGGTTCAAACCATACTAGTCACTCCTCAGAAGCCCACACAGGGTCACTATGTTTTGGAACTGACTTGATGACGCTAACAACAACACTTTAAGCCATGATTTTTTTTTTTGAATGAGCCACATGAACTTGACTTTTTTTGTTGTTTTTTGGCAAATACAGTCATCTGTCAGCAATTTCATATGCTTTGACTTATATTATAATGGAGTCCTGGTGTAGCGCTGCGGGTTAATGTGCTGGACTGCAAGGTCAGTTTAAACTGCAAGGTCAGCGGTTCAAGCTTACCAGCTGCTCCTTGGAAACCCTTTGGAGGGTTGCAACTGATTCAACAGCACTTAACAATAACAACAAATATTATAACAGTCAAATATCCTGCCCCCATAGGGAGTCCTAGTATGGTACTGCAGGTCTTGTTGTTGTTGTTGTTAGGTGCCCTGGAGTCGGTTCTGACTCATAGCGACCCTGTACAGGGTTTCCAAGGCTGTAAATCTTTATGGGAGCAGAAAGCCTCATCTTTCTCCCGTGGAACAGCTGGTAGTTTTGAACTGCTGAACCTGAGGTTAACAGCCCGATTCATAACCACTACGCTACCAGAGCTCCTTGTAGGATAAGCACTGGACTGCTAACCACAAAGTCAGTGGTTCAAACCCACCAGTTTCAATGGCACTTAACAACAACAACCCTATGTAGTAGATATTATAAGTTCTCAGCTGTCAGATGCCCAACTGGTAGTACCTATATCTCTTTCTGTGGCCACCAGAGCCTACTCTGCCCACACCCAGGGCAGACCTGAAGTGTCCAGCACTTACAGTAGCCCTATGTGTAATGGGTATCTAGAACTACACTTTAGTTCGCTCTCCCCACTGAACTAGCACTGAGCTGTGTGAGTTTGGCACTGTCTCCCAGAGCTCCCCAATAGGAATTAAGCTTACAGGGGCCCAAATGCTGACTGTGTTAATAACACACTCTTTATTGGCCACCTTTCCCAGTTCATTCCCCCTTCTTTTTTGGTATTTCCAATCCTTTATTTATTTTTTTTTTTAAGAGCCACTTCTTAAATAAACTTGCACTCAATTTTTTTCTCTGAGTTTGCTTCTGGAAAAACCCAAACTCCCAAGGAATATATCCTATAAATAATCTTTACAGATATACAAAAATCATATGTATTCAATCTATTGTTATTGTTAAGTGCCATTGAGTCAGTTCCAACTCATATTGACCCTGTAGAGGGTTTCCAAGGAGCAAGCTGGTGAGCTTGAACCACCAACCTTGCTGTTCAAACTGACCTTGCAGTCCAGCACATTGACCCACAGTGTCACATCAGGACTCGATTCAATCTATTAATTCAGCATGATTTGTAATCACAAGAGATTGGAAATAGGAAACTTATTGAATACACTATTCAACACACAAGGGACTACTATATAGCTGTATTTTAAAAAATGTAAAGGCAATTTGTGTCTTGATACAAAGCAATGTCTGAGTTGTATTAATGAAAAGCAAAATGCAGAACAGTATAAGTAAATTATGCTATTTGTAGGGTGGGGGAGTCCTGGTGTTAATGCGCTGTGGTGAATGAACTGGACTGCAAGTTTGAACCGCATGGTTGGTGGCTCAAGCTCACCAGCCGCTCCTCAGAAACACTATACAGGGTCGCTTTGAGTCCGAACCAACTTAGAAGCACTTAACAACAACAACAAGCAGGGTGGTGAGGAGGGAGAGGCTTTCCACATACATTATTGCTTGTCTTTTGATTTTGTATATGGACAGGTTTACCAAAACAAACAACTGAAGAGTCATTAAAATAACAAAAAAATAGATAAAGGGAGCTTTTTCATTCCTTCATTTGATAGGTTTATTGAGCCCATCAGCATGAATGTGGAATGAGTTGGGATAGGTTTCTGCTGGTTGACCAGAATCTGACTTGACCCACAGTTCCCGCAAGCTCACAATTGTCCACGAAGAAAGGTCTCACTTCTTTCAGCTGGGAGAGGAGCTCTTGTGTCTCCTTGGGTTTTCACCCACATTAACTGCCACCACCTCCAGCCTCGGAGGCACAACAGCATCTTCAATCACACACAGGAAATCCAAGCAATTCTTTCTGGCCAGAGGCTGTGCTTAAAGCATTTGCCTCTACGCAACAGACATCAGAGTCACTCACCTTGACATACATGTACACACATACACACACATGAAAACTGATGTAGATCTTTTCTGGGTGAGATGACATGTCTCCACCCCAGTCTCTTAATATATATGCCTGTCCAGCAGCCTGGAGGCCTACATGCTGGTCTGACCAAAGATCTGCTCGTTGCAGGAGACGTGTGGCTCAGTAGGAAAGGAGCCATTACTGGGGTGGGCTTGCTTGGGGATCAGCCTCGCTCATCATGTCCTTGTACTGCCGTTTGAAGAAGCCAAGCTGTGGGGACAGAGATGAAGTGTTTCAGGAACAGAGCAATCAAGGACCACAAAAGTCAAATGAGAATTATGCAGACCAGGAGAAGAGCCATAGGAACCAAGAGGCAAAGTGATGTGGCACGATCTAGGTGGGAACTGGGGAAAATAGGACAGATAGGAAAATAGCATCACTATTAGGACCAGAGAAGGGAGAAATACAATACTATCTTGCAATAACAGCTGTCCTTTTCTAGTGGTCACACTGTGCCAGGGGTCATACTAAATGCTCTCCATTTATTAATCCAGTTCCTTTCACAATCCCATTTTGCAACTGAAGAAACTGAGGGACAGACTCTGAGTTGTCCACGATCACACATCTATAGTTGACTCAAGCTGGGAGTCAAACCAAGTGTTGGAGCTTCTGAGTACCTGTTTTTAGCGACACCTGGTGGAGAAACAAGTAAGGAGGAGGGAGTAGGCAGGAAGGAGGCCAACAGGGAAATACCTTGTACAGCGTCGCTGTGATGAGAGCCAGAAGCACCAGCCCCCCCAAAGAGCTGCCTACGATGAGTGGTACAGGGTTGGGAACGTCATACTGCTCTACTTTGGTCTCTGTCTGAGGAAGAGAGATGGGGAAGAGGGCCCCTCTGGATTTCAGCAGGTTTCCGCAGTCAGACCTTGACCATTCCCTTAACTCTTCACTGTTCTCCCAGCCTCAACTCTCACCCCCTCTTCCCACCTCCTACTTCTCTCTCTCGTCCCTACCTCTCTTTAGTTCTCCTTACCCAGATCTCTCCAGAAGCCTGATCTGCCCTCCTCCCTCCCTCCATTTTTATGTCCCCAGCAGATACCTGGGCCCTCACAAACATCCTTTGTCCCGGAAGCAGGGCAAACACCGCATTGTTAAACAAAATCTCCGCTGTGCTCACAACCAGCCAGTGGTTCTGAGAAGTCTGTAAAAGAGAGCGGTATGGGAGCTGAACTTATGGACCCCCCAAACTATTGCAGCTGCTTCCAACTGAGCCTCCGGACCTCACATACCTTTATATACCAGTCAAATGAAAGATTGCCTTTGAGGGTGACAGTGAATTTTTCCTGGGTGCTGAAGGATGGGATGTCACATTGGATTCTTTTGCAGACTGCAATAGAGCAGTTCTGGGGAGGGTAGGAGAGAAGAGAGATGGCAGATAAACTGGGATGCAGAAAGCATCACCGTGAATCCTGCCTACTACAGGGGGAAGTCATGTTGGGGCCTAAATAGGGGATCACACTGAGGACCTGAAGGTACAGCTCACCAGCACTGGGGTCTTCTTTATCTCAGCTAGGAAGTTAGTGTTTGAAGGAAGTTTTTCTTTACTGTGGCATGAATTGTTGAGGTCCTGAGGAAAGAGAGACTGTGAGAAGAGAGAGCAACAAGGGCTCCTGGGACCATTATAAAGGAGAGGTGACATAGTCTGCATCTAGGTGTTTGAACCTAAAAGTCGGTAGTTCAAACCCACCAGCCACTCTTCAGAAACCCTATACAGAGTCACTATAGGTCAGAACCAACTTGATGGCACTTAACAACAACAAGATGAGGGTTAGATGAGAAGCTCCAAAATCCAGCAGGGGAAGCAGATTTTAGGAAAGACCAGGACAGTGAAGGGAGGAGTTGGGGACACTCCGTCAAGTCCAGCTAGACTTACCTGGGAAAAGGTAACCTGAAGGTCATTCAACACGGTCACTTGGTTCAGCAGGATGGGGACCCAGAAGACCACACTGATAGGGAGGTGCCTCTGCCCCAGGTTGTTGAACTGCATGGTGTGCGGAGGACAAGAAAGGAGTCAAGACTCTGGGACTGTCTGCCCCCCACCAGATCCTGGGATATCCTCTCACCTCCTACAGCCCAATACACCTGAGTAACGATCAAGGAGTCTTTTCCCCTGGATGCCTCCTGGAAGGCAATATAGTAGCTAAACACTACACTAGAAAGCCAGACAGGCTCGTGAACAGCCTTGGGTATGTTTTTTAACATCACTGAGCCTGTTTCTTCATCTGTAAACTGGGAATAATGACAGAGTTGTTGTGAGGACAAAAGTGAGTTAATTATATGTATGTGTACACCATATATACATATTATATGTGTACATATACATACATGTGTGTATAGACATGTGTGTGCATGTATAGACATATGTGTGTACATACATACATGTGTGAAGGAGTGAGAACAAGCTTAGAATTGTGTTTAGCATATAATAGACATAAATATGCTTGTTTCCTATCATTTCTGAATTTCCATCACATTGATTTTACTCCACAGTCCCCTTCTCAGGACCCAGATGTCCACGGCTCCCCACCTGGTATTGATGTTCCACAACTTGGATAGTCTTATCTGAGGCTGTGAAGTTGAGATATTTGGTAGAATTCTCATGGCTGCAGGGAGAAAGAAAGGGTGGGGACAGAAGACAGCAGAGCATCAGGGCTGCCCTTGCAAGGTATCTCAGGCTAGGAATGTAAGGGGGTGAACAGGCACATGGGTAATGTGGAGCTGAGGAATGTAGGCAAGATGGTCTGAAGGGGCAGGAAGTTCTGACATAGTGTGTGCATGTTTGGGCCACTCAGACACAAATCCAAACATATAAACATGAACACAGGCACACATGCACCTACTTCCTCATATTCAGGTACACATGCACACACAACTACCCAGGTCCAGCCCAGTGGCAAAAGCTGATTAAGGCAGCACCTGGTGACCACCATGTAGACAGCATATTTCACAGGCAGTTCCAGCTGGAATTCACTTTTGCTTGTACTGGGCATGTTGTTCTCACTGAAGGAAAAGAGAGAGTTCTGGTCAGCTCTAGAAAGCTGAGACTCAACCTTTCCTTCTTTCTGTTCCGCATTGCCCACCTCCCGTAGATGACCAATTCCTGTAAGCCTACATTCTCAACCTCACTGGTCTCTAGCTCCTTCTCCTATCCAGCCCAGGCCTATCCCCACTGATATGGATGTCTGCAGAAATCTGCTCTTAACTGGTTCCATGATTCCAAATTGCTCCCCCTCCAGTCCCCAGTCTTCTTGAGGAGTGATTTTTCTAACATATTACTCCCAAGATTAAACTGCAAATTCCCTAACATCATCCATCCATCATATTATGACATGGTTGCAACCCACGTTTCCAACCCATACCTAATTAACCACCACTAGCTCTCTAAATCCTACACTATGTGCTTAGACCACACAGAGCTTCCATTCCTGAAATCCTGATCTTTTCGGTCTCCTGGTACATGCGTCTCTTTCTGTCTCTCCTCGTTCATGCCTTTGTTTGGTTAACTCACAACTTGAAGCCTCCAGAAACTTCTCTGAACACCAAACTCCAAAGAACACTTCATCTTCCCCATCTAATCATTCATTTCACACTGTATTGTAACTGCCAATTTACTTGTCTCTTTGCGCCACTAAATTATAAGCCATGTGAAGATAGGAATCACATATTGGAGGATCCATGACTGTCTCACCAGCGCTGAGCACAATGCTTGGCACATGAAGACGGCTCCATCAGTGTTAGATGAGCTGAAGGGAAACTTAGTAGAAACAAGGGCCAAGAACCCCCTTGACAGAGGTGAGCCTCAAGGGGAAGGAGGACACTTGTGGGGGACTGGACACAGCGTACCTGGTCACATTGGCTTTGAGGAGTAATTTGTTTCCAAGAGAAGCGCTGGAGTCCACATTGAATGTGATATTAAAGGTGACCTGGGAATGGAGAAAGAAAAGGCAGTGACAAGAATAGAAGAGAAGTAACAACCCAAATGCCCATCAATTGATGAAATAAAATGTCCATACAACAGATTATATTTAGCAACAAAAAGAAATAAAGTACTGAAACATGCTACAACATGGATAAACCTCAAAGACATCATGCTAAAGTGAAAGAAGCTAGTCACAAAGGGCCATATATCATATGATTCCATTTGTGTGAAATGTCTGTTGTTGTTTAGTCCTGTCGAGTCGATCCTGACTCATAGAAACCCTGTATAGGGTTTCCGAGGAGCAGCTAGCAGGTTTGAACTGCCAACCTTGCGATTCAAACCGACCCTTTGGTCCAGTGCTTTATCCTACAGCACCACACAAATGGATACAAACAGAAAGATTGCCGACTGCTGAAGATGCTAGAAGAATTGGGGCGGGGGGGCGGGTGCTGGCTAAGGGGAACAGGATCTCTTTTTGAGGTAATAAAAATGTTCTACAATTAATTATATTGATATACGTCATTAAATGGTACATTTTCAAAGGGTGAATTGTATGGTGTGTGAATTATCTCAGTAAAGCTGTCTTTAAAAATAGAAACTATTTTTTTGGAAAAAATAATAATTGAAGAGATCCATTTCAGAAGACAAAGGGGAAATAAAAGGAGACGCCAGTAGTTCTGACCTCAGAATTGCCTGGGAAGAGGGGATGATTTATGTTACAGCTGCTGCTCTTCAGGGTCTCAGGCCCTGCAGTGGGGGTCCTAGACTCACAGACCAGGCGCCAGGATCTGTGTGTGTGCTGGTTCTGGAAAGCAAGGGAGGTGGAGATGGTTATATCAGCCACCAGCCACAGAGATGGGAAAAGCAAAGATCAGATCAAATCTGAGATTACTACAGCTACCTGGGACACTGCCACTCTCCGATAGGACAAGCCAGGTGGGTAGAAGAAGGTGACCTGAGTTCTGTAGGAGTCCTCACCCTGATTTCTCACAGTAACAGTCACATTGAGGTCCTGGGGACCACCCACCACCAGTGTGTCCAGGCTGGAAGAGGAACAAGAGAGACCATCAGGTACTTGGTGAGTGGTCTCTGGTGAAATGCTGATGTGGAGAGTTGAAGGGAGAAGACAGTGGATGGGAGCTGTGAGGGATACAAAAAACTCCCAAGAAGCTGGGAGAGCTATGCTGGGATCCCTCAAAGGCCAGGAGAAGAGCAGAGGTTCTGATTGTTGTTAAGTGCTGTGGAGTCCATTACAACTTATAGAGACCCTGTATAGGGCTTCTGATGAACTGCTGGTTAGTTTGAACCACCAACTTTACAGTTCAAACCGACCTTGCTGTCCTGTGCTGGTCCTACAATGCCGCACCAGGACAGGTTTAAGGGAGGCAATGAGAAAAACAAACTCACTTCATAAAACTGAAGACAATGCTGAGATCATCTTGGCAGACATTGTCATTGCCACAATTCTTCTCAAAGGGGAACTGTAAATATAAAATAAGGGAAAATGAAAAGACATCAAATGGAATGATGGGAAATAATATAGTAAGATGAAATATTAAAATAAAATTATATGAAATGCAATAAAGTGAGTTCCAACCATCTTTTTTTTTTTATTATTATTATTGTGACCGGAGTGATAGTTTACATGGGAGAATGTCAGCTTTACACCATCGTTTCATTGCAATGATTACAATCTCCTCCATACATCATCATTCAACAGGATTTGCTTCCATTCCCTCTGTTCTTGTTTTTGTTTTGTTTTGGGGGTGGGGTGCTCCAACCATTTTGGCTCTGGTCTTTTCCATGCCCCTGTAGGGCCCCAACCCTAGGACTCACCAAGGCTGTGAAGAGTCTCTGAGCATCCACAGCCAGCACTGGCCGGAGATTCCCGAAAGAGGTTAAGGGCTTCCCTTCCAGAGAGAAGTTGAGGCGCAGGACAATGGGGGTCACTGAGTCTTCTACACAATCCTGAGAGACAATGGGGATTTAGGAATGTGACCTTCTCAGCTTCCCAAATGCTCTCCATGCATGGAGGTCCCAGAGGTCCAATCACCCGCCAGCTCACCGGTAATTGTAGGTTCAGGGTCTCACATTTCTCTGTTAGCGCCAAGGTCTGCGTTTGTCTAAGTGTACTATTCTTCGTCTTCTCAAAGATGGCACGGGGATTTGAGCGACTGGAGTCCAGACCCAGGTCATAAGTGATAATGCTCTGGATCTCTCCTAAAGGGGCAGAATAGCATGGGGGGAGTCAAGGCTGAGAGTCAGACAGACAGGCACATGAGACCTAGCTGCATTGCTTTCCAGCTGTATCACTTTGGTAAGACTGCAAAGCCATGTGAACTGCAAGGTCGGCAGTTCAAGCCCACCAGCTGCTCCTCAGAAACCCTCTACAGGGTCGTTATAAGTTGGTACCAATTTGACGGCCCACAACAACAGTCTATTATAAAGGAATTTTGGTAGCATAGTGCTTACGAGTCGAGCTGCTAACCTCAAGGTCAGCAGTTCAAAACTAACAGCAGTTCCACAGGAGAAAGACAAGGCTTTCTGCTCCTGTAAAGATTTACAGCCTCGGAACCCCTATAGACGGTCACTATGAGTCAGAACCGACTCCACGGCACATAACCACCACCACCATCAGTCTATTATAGGGACTTCTGGTGTGGCACTGTGGGTTAATGCACTGGACTGAGATGCTTCAAGCTCACCAGCCACACCTCGGACACTCTGTACAGGGTCACTATGGGTCAGAACTTACTTGATGGCACTTAACAACAACAACAGCAACAAGTCTATTATAGGAGTGCCAATGTGGCACTGTAGGATAAGCACTTGCCTGCAAGGTTGGTGGATCAAACTCACCCACCGCTCCTTGGAAACACTATAACAGGGTCGCTGTGGGCTAGAACCTACTCGATGGCACTAATAACAACAACAATAGCAACAAAAGTCTATTGTATGAAGAATGCAAAAAGTCATTTTTAAAAAAACAGGGAAAAAAAGAAAAGACCAAAAATGGATGTCAGAAGAAACTCTGAAACTTGCTCTTGAACTTAGAGCAGAAGAGTGAATGGAAGAAAGGATGACGTGAAACACATCAAGAAGACAAAGTAAAGCATTAAAATGATGTGCAAAGACCTGGAGTTAGAAAACCAAATGGGAAGAACACATTTGATATTTCTCAAGCTAACAGAACTGAAGAAAAATTCAAGCATCAACCTGCAATATTGAAGAATTCTATGGGCAAAATATTGAACAACATAGGAAGCTTCAAAAGAAGATTGAAGGAATACAGAACAAAAAAGAACTGGTCCATGTTTAACCAGGAGGTAGCATATGATCAAGAACCGATGATATAAAAAAGACCAGGCTTGAATTCTACCAAACATTCAGAGAAGAGCTGACACCAATTTTACTGAAACTATTCCAGAACATAAAATAGGATGGGAAACTCCTGAATACATTTTTATGAAGCAAGCATAACCCTCATACGAAAACCCGGCAAAAAAATATCACTAAAAAAAGAAAATTATAGACCAACATCCCTCATGAGGAGTCCTGGTGTGGCACTGAGGGTTAATGCACTGGACTATAAGGTCAGTTTGAACAGCAAGAGCAGCAAGATCAAGCCCACCAATCGCTCCTAAGAAACATTATACAGGGTCACTATGAGTCAGAACTGACTTGATGGCACTTAACACCAACAACATCCCTCATGGACATAGATGCAAAAATTTCAACAAAATCCTAGCTTATAAAATTCAACCACATACCAAAAATATATATATATATAAAATAATAAAATCATGACCAAGTGATATTCATTCCAGGGATGCAAGGATGGTTCGATACTAGAAAAAAAACTCAACTAATCTACCATATAAATAATACAAAGGATAAGAAACACATGGTCATATTGATAGATTCACAAAAGGCATTTGACAAACTCCAACATCCATTTCTGATAAAAACACTCAATAAAGTAGGTAGGAATTGAAGGGAAATTCCTCAACATAATTAAGAGCATATATACAAATCCAACAGCCAATATTACCCTCAGTGGAGACAAAGTGAAAGCATTCCCTTTGTGAAAGGAACCAGAAAAGGATGTCCTTTATCATAACTGCTATTCAATACTGGGTTGGAAGCTAAAAGGCAAGAAAGTTAAATTAAAGACATCCAAATTGGCAAAGAAATTAAACTCTCTTTACAGATAATATGATCTTACACATAGAAAATCCCAAAGACTCAGTAAGATAACTATTAAAAGATTTAGCAAATTAGCAAGGTACAAGATCAATATACAAAAATCAGTTGGATTCCTATACGCTAATAAAGACAGCTCAGAAAAGGAAATTAGGAAAACAATACCATTTACAATAGCCACCAAAAAGATGAAATGTTAGGAATAAATCTAACCAGAGAAACAAAAGACCTGTACAAAGAAAACTATAAAACACTACTACAAGAAACCAAAAGTGACTTATAAAAATGGAAAGATGCACCCTGCTCATGGATAGGAAGACTTAACACAGTGAAAATGGCAATACTACCCAAAGCAATCTATAGATACAACACAATCCCAATCCAAATTCTAACACCATTCTTTGAAGAGGTGGAAAGACTGATCCCTAACTTTATATGAAAAGGAAAAAGACGTTGGATAAGCAAAGCACTGCTTAAGAAGAACAAAATTAGAGACTTCTCATTCCTTGATCTCAAAATTTACAACACAGTCATAGCGGTCAAAACAGTCTGGTACTGGTACAATGAAAGATAGCTACATCAATGGAACAAAATTGAAATCTCAGAAATAAACCCATCCACATGCAGTCTGCTGACCTTTGACAAAAGGCCAAAACATATTAAACGGGAAAGAGAGTCTCTTCAACAAATGGTGCTTCAAAACTGGAAATCAATTTGTGGAAGAATGAGACCAGACCCATATTTCACACTATATAAATAATAAACAACATGGATTAAAGACCTAAATGTAAAATCTAAAACTATAAAGGTCATCAATGAAACAATAGGGACAAACTTAGGGGTTCTAATACATGGCATAAATACACTATCAAACATTACTAAAAACATACAAACAGCAGAAGACGAAATAGATGACTGGGCCCTCCTAAAAATTCGACACTTAAAAGATTTCACCAAAAGACTAAAAAGGAGCCAATAGACTGGGAATAGATTTTTGCAACAACGTATCAGACAAGGGATTAATACCCAAAATTTACAATTAAAAAAAAACTACACCTCTACAAGAAAAAGACAAACAACCCAATTTAAAAATGGGCACAGAACACGAACAGATACTTCACCAAAGAAGACATTCAGGCAGCCAACAAACACTATCATTAGCCATTGTTATTGTTAAGTGCCACCGAGTCAGTTCTGACCCATAGCAACCCTGTATAGGGTTTCCAAGGAGTAGCTGGTAAGCTTGAACTGCCAATTTCCAGGTTCAAATCAATGTTGCAGTTCAGTGGATTAACCCACAGCACCACACCAGGACTAATTAGCCATTGTTGTTGTTATTGTTAAGTGCCATCAAGTCAATTCCGACCCATAGCGACCCTGTATAGGGTTTCCGAGGAGCAGCTGGTAAGCTTGAACCACCGACCTTGCAGTTCAAACGGCTTTGCAGAGAAGCAAATCAAAACAACACTGAGATATCATACCACACCAGCATTAATAGCAGAGTTTAAACAACAACAACAACAACAACAAAAATCAGAAACAACAAATGCTGGTGAGGGCGTGGAGAGACTGGGACCCTCCCACATTGCTGATGGGACTGTAGAATGGTTCAACCACTGTGGAAAACAATATGGCGCTACCTCAGAAAGTTGAAAATAGAAATACCATACGATCCCACAGTCACTCTACTTGGTATATATGCACAAGAAATAAGAGTCAGGACATGAGTAGATATATATGCACAGAGCTATTTATCACAGCACTATAACACAATAGAAGAAAAGAAGATATTTCTTAAAAGAAAGACCAGCAGGAAAAATAAAAAACAGTAACAGCAGTCTGATTGACTACTACAAGAACAAGCAAGTTGTTCACCCGGGAGCCATCAAGGCAAGGGGTTGGGTCCCCTCAGGGCAAACCCCCTTCCAAGACAAAGAAAGACTCAAGGGAAATACATGAGCAGGCATGTGGTCTGGCTGGTGACCACATTGGTCACCGATAAGGGGAAGCGGGGGAAAAACAGCAATGAAGTTGTCAGCTAAGTCTGACCACATTCAATAGACTCCTGTGAACCCAGATTGAGACCTGGTTGGCCAGCAGTACAAGACCCAGGGACTCCTGGGCCCAGAGACAGTGACATGGCCACAGAGGACTACAGTGGAGAGTGAAGTGTCCAGCTGATATGAAGTGAGGGGAGATACACAAGAACACCCATACTTGCAGATAGTACCCACTTGACTAGAAGAAGAAAGAAGAGGAAAAAAAGAATAATCTGCTACAATTTGATGAACTTGACCTATATTTACGGATGTAGTAGCTTAAAAGAAGGAACAAATCTTTACAGTGAGAATCATTCCCACCCCCTCAGTACGATGGGTTGACAGAGATGGGCAACTTAGACATTGGCTACCCAAAAGGGAGGGGGCTGAAGGCAAGAAGTGACAGACTTACAAACTTTCAAGAGGGAGCCTAGTTCCAGAGGATGCAGGGGAAGGTACTGAGTGGCTTCCAATTTGCCTGGACAGGGCTGATGAAAGGAGATGGAGATAAGGCTCTTGTGGTACAATAGTAAAAATTGCTATCAGGACTGATTGTGAGGGTGGAAAATGTAAAGATAGACGTTTTGTAACAAAAGGAGGGGAGTGGTTGATTTTGCAATCCAGGAGAGGGTCCCTGAGACCATCAAAGAAGAAGAGAGGAATGCGGGACCCTACCCAGAGAAGCAGTGATGCCAGAGATGGAGGCAGAGATGATGATGTGGAGAGATGGAGTGGCTGGGGACTCTGGACTCAGGGAGGGAGAGGGGGGCAGACTTGCAGGGTGTACCCTTTGGTTGTTTGATGATGCATGGAGGGGACTATAATCATTGCAATAAAATGAAATATGATAAGATTAATGTAAAGCTAATGTTCTCCCAGGTAAACTATCTCATAATTCACAATAAAAACTTTTTTAAAAATTCATGGAAATAAGGAATTGAAAGATAACAGAATTTTTCCATAAACTTGTTGAAACCCCCTCCTATACTTACTATGAGGTAACACAGTGGCTCCATATGATAAGCACTGGACCATGAATCACAAGGTTAGCGATTCAAGGCCAGAAGCCACTCCATGGAATATGAGATTTTCTGCTTCCATGAAGATTTAGAGCCTTAGAAACATTATGCAGAGTCTCCATGAGTTGGAAACCGACTCGGTGACACTTAACTATAAAGTTCACTGCATTTTTCAGGTTGTTTTGATTTCCAACAGTTTGATTATAATGTACCTTGGTATGGTTATGTTTATATTTATATATGTTTTTAAACTCTTTATTGTGAATTTAGTGGAAATTTACAAAGCAGATCATCAGTTTAACATTCAACAAATCATATACTTTGCTTCATTACATGATTGCAATCCCCTTCACATACTAGCAGTTAACAGCATTTACCCCTATTCACTTTAACTATCGCATTTCTCGGTGTCTTCTCCTAGCTTCATCTTTCCTCTGCTAACCTTTTGTATATTGCCTGCCCTGTCACTCATGTTAACATGTGTTTACCCTCTAGCCCATGAATAATATTCCCTCCCCCCACTTCCTGTAACCATCATAGATCATTTCTTTTATTAAGTAAACCCTTTTAAATTTTTATTTTAACTTTTTATAACATTGATCTCATACAATGTCTGTCCTTTCGTTATTGACTAATTTCACTCAGCATAATGTCATCCAGGTTCAACCATGTTGTGAGGTGTATCACAGATTTATCATTATTCTTCAACGTTTTGTAGTATTCCATTGTGTGTATCTACCAACGTTTGTGTAACTGTTCTTCTGTTGATGGGCATTTAGGCTGTCTCCATCTTTTTGATATCTCTCTTGTAGACAGCATACTGAAGGATCCTATTTTCTTATCCATTCTGCTCTTTCTGTCTCTTGACTGGTACATTTAATCCATTTACATATCAATAGGTATGAATTGATTGTTGTCATTTTCTGTGTGTGTGTGTGTGTGTGTGTGTGTTTTGTTTTGTGGTGCTGTTGGATTCTTTGTTCCATAGAATTTTCTGCACTGAGTTCATTTTGTTTGTGGGTTTTCTTTCCATTTTCATTTCTGTTGTGTTAATGTTTACTGAATCTTTCTGATTTTCCTCTCATTTTGATGTGCGGGTATATTATTTTTCTTTGAGGTTTCCCTGTAATTCATTAATTTTTTAACTTGCTTAAATCAGCCTGTTTTATCTTGAAATCTATCTGACTTCCTTCTTATTTGAAATTTCTGTATCTACATTATTCCCTCTTTTTGCTTTGTAGTTGACTTCATTATACAATGATATCTCTGGTTCCCTATTTTCAATCTTGTAGGTTTGTTTTCACCTTAAATACTTGTGTATATGCGTTGAATTCTGGGTGGTGTTGTCATGTATGGTAATCTAAGATTATTGTCTGCTATCATTGTTTCTCAGGCCAAAGAACAACTCTTAGTATTTTTTGAAATGTTGGTCTGGCCATTACAAATTCCTTTAATTTCTATTTATCAGTAATTATCCTAATTTCATTATTGTATTTGAGGGACAGCTTTGCTGGGTATATGATTCTTGGTTGGCAATTTTTTTTTTCTTTCAGAATTTTGTATATGCTATGCCATTGCTTCCTGTCTGCATTGTTTCCACTGAAGAATCAGAGCTTAGTTTTATAGGTTCTCTTTTGTAGGTAAAATTTAGCTTTTCCTGAGCTGTTCTCAGGATCCTTTCCTTGTCTTTGATTTTGAAGAGTTTGATTATGACATGTCTTAGTGATTTTCTTTTGAAATCTGTTTGGGATTTGTTCAACTTCTTGTATGCTTCTCTTCTTGTCGTTCATGACACTAAGGAATTTTTCTTCCAACAACTCTGGCAATTTTCTCTATACTTCTCTTTTCCTGTTCTGGAATTCCAATCACCTGTACGTTGTTCCTCTTCATGGTATCCCCCATAACTCTTAGGCTTTCTTCATTCTTTTTTTTTTTTTTTTATTGTTTTTCTAGCATACTAGTACTGAGAGATTTATCTTCAAGTTCACTAATTCAGGCATCCATTGTTTCACATCTACTCCTTTGTCCTTTCAATGTATTATCCATTTCTAAGATCTTATTATTTCTAATTGTAGGTTTTGTAGTATTTCAAATTTTGTATTTATTTTGTCTGTTTGTTCTTGTAGTGCTTTTCTGAATTCTTCTAAAGTTTTTATTGTGTTCTCCTTGCTTTCCTTGATCTATCTATTGATCTTTTGAAGGTATCATTCATTTGAATTCTTTTTCAGTTAGATCCATTACCTTTTCTTCCTCAGTAATGTTGTCTGGCTCTGCATTTTGGTCATTCATTTGAGCCACTCTGTCTTGTTTCTTCATGTGAGCTAAAATTGTCTGTTGTCTCCAAGTCATTGTGGGGTTGTCATATTTGTAAAAACAAGCAGTGCTGTTGTTGGGCCCAGCGGGGAGAAATCTCTAGGGGGCTTCTGTAATTCAAGAATCTCCCTCTGCTGTCAAAGCTGCTCACAAAATGGTGGGGCCTTGTCTGGCCAGCAATTCACCAGTCAGTCTCCCTCTCTCATTGTCCCTGCTGGGCCTCTCCTCTCAGCAAGCACTTCATCTACCTCTCTAATCTTTCTTCTGAAGTTCAGTGTGCTAGAATTTGCAACTGTGTCTATTTGATCTCTTGTATCTTTGTTGTAGGGGGCCCATGTAATATGTCTTCCTAGTCCACCATCTTTTCAGAAGTCCTATTTCTTTTTTAAATTGTAAATTAAATGAAGATCATCAGTTTTCCATTCAATAAATCATATGCTTCATTCCATTCCATTATCTATTAATTCCATTTTTCCAGGAACTTTTTGAAGTCCCTCATATTTATAATGCTTTGTAAAGAATCTTAATAATTTTGGTATGTGTGTTAATTCTTTCAACTGGCCTGTCTTCTGCTTCACTTATCCTCTGTTCTGCTTTTAGTGTGTTAATAAACCAATTTATTAAAATTTTCATTGAATCATTATATTTTTTCAGTTCTAGAGTTTCCATTTGACTCTATTTTATGAATTTCAGGTCTTTGCCAAAGTTCTCTAGCTTTTTCTCTATTCTTTTGAGGATATTGTGATTATTCTAAGGTCCTTGTGTTCTAATATCTGAATCAAATGTACTTCTTTTTCTATTGTTTATTGTTTCTCTTTGCTGCTAATCAATTGTTTTATAGATCAAAGGTCTTTGCTGAAATTCTCCATTCTTTCTCTTGTTTTCCTTAAGCTATTAATTGTAGTTATTTTTACCTCCTGGTGTGGCACTGTAGGACAAGCACTGGACTATTAACTGCAATGTCAGTGGTTCAAACCCACCAATCACTTCTCGGAAACCCTATACAGTATCACTGTGAGTCAGAACTGACTCGAAAGCACTTAACAACAACAACAGCAAATCTAATAACTTTAATCTCTGAGTCACACATGGTTCCATTTCTATTGTCTATTGTTTGTCTCAGTTGCTGGTCAATCATCTCAATGGATGCACTCAAGTGTTTACCAAGGCTCCTGTCAAATCCATATTTTCTAAGCACTGCTGAATTCTCTAGTCAACTCTTAGTTTCCCAGCTATGTTTTCTACAGGGTTTCTTAGAGTATTGACTGGAACATGCATGGCTTAGAGGTCAACCAAGGACTTGATGAGAATTTCTGTATAGATTTTGGGGTAACTTCTCTGTAATTTCCTACTCTATAGGATTTTGACTCTCAATTTTCAGCCAGGCTGGCTGTCCTAAACTCTAACTGCTATCTCCTTAAGCAAGTAAGACTGCTTCTAGAAACTTAATTTTATCCCCTTTACCCTGTTTCTTTCTGGTACTGCCATTACTATTCCTTCACTTCAAGCATCATGCCATTCTTTGGAAATAGGGACAAAAGAAGAAGTCAGGCTGGTTGTGATAAAATGTTTGTCTGAAATAATGCCTTATTAATTTACATTTAGCTTTCTTAACTCAATTTCCCCTTTAAATGAATTCTTTCTCAAATAGAAAACTTTGTTTTGTTCACATGTATGGGGTTCTTGGTTCACTGGCAAACTGAAAGAATGAGGGCGGATTACATATTCACTCCTTTGGTGAGATTTTCTGGGCCTCCACTCCCAACAGGGAAATAACCTGCTCACTATTTCCATCACTATAGCCACACTTGGAAGAGGCTTGTCAGAGCCTTAGAGAGCTGAGAGCTTACCGACCAGTCGATCCCGGGTGCTTTTCTGGACTTGCAAGCAGATTCTTACATCTCCAGCATTCAGGCTTCTCACCGCCTGTTCACGACATTCAAATACATTCCTTGCCACTTCTCGGGGTGTGAACTCCATGATCACCTTGACTCTCAATACAGGCTGGGACCTGCAGAGACACCAGAGGATCGCCAGAGGTCTTCAGACAGCAAAGGGACTGCTTTCAGAGAGGACACTTAATGAGCTCCAAAGGGATTCTCACCTGAGCAACAGCATATGCCCCTGGGCTCCTACAGCCAGGTCCACCAGTCCATCCTGCGTGATGTCCTGGCCCCCACTGAGTGACTGACCAAAATACTGGAGGTTGGGAGAGAGCTGGGAGCCTGTAATCCGCTGAGGCCAAAATAAATAAATAAGGACAAGAAAAAAGGGAGTGGGAAAGAATAGGAAAATATGTGAGTGTGATGCTGTCACCAAGTAAATTGAGGTTCTCTGGGCTCCATTCAGGTATCATCTCCCACAACTTCCTAAGGAATTGGGGGAATTATTCCCTTTATACCACACTCTTAAAATGATACTCAAAAATTCCTTCAATTACCTGGGTTTCCCAAGAGGGGGAAATTACAGGAAAAAAGAAATACCTATGTGGCTCTGATGAATCTCATTTACATGGTCAGAATAACATAAACACTGAATATTGATATTGTTGTTCTTAAGTGCCGTTGAGGAGTCCTGGTGCACTGCTGTGGATCAACTCTGGACTGTGAACCACAAGGTCAGCTGTTCAAGCCCACTAGCTGCTCCTTGGAACCCTTTTACAGGGTCACAGTTTAGTTGGAACTAACTCAATGGCACTTGTTGTTAAGTGTTGCTGAGTTGGTTCCAACCCATAACGACCTTGCATTGGGTTTCTGAGGAGCAGCTAGTGGGCTTGAACCGCTGACCTTGTGGTTCAAACTGACCTTGCAGTCCAATGCATTAACCCACAGTACCACACCAGGGTCTGCAGAAATGTAAGGAATGAATGGGACAGCGTAGTGGAAGAATGGGAGGGGTATTCATGCATGACAAGAAGAGAACTGAGAGCTCAGTCCTCACCTCCCAATGTTAAAACAAAAATCAAGAAGTAGCAAAATGAGAGGGAAGGAGTCTTCACATCAAGTATTAATGCTATCCCCTCTGTATACAGAGTAGATAGGGACAGGCAACTTAGATATTGACTACCTAAAATGAGGGGGCGTAAAGGCACAGAGTGACTGGCTTACAAGTTTTCAAGAGGAAGTTTAGTTTAAATATGTAGGGGGAAAGATAGAGTCCCCACTGAATAATTTTCATCTTGTCTAGATGGGTCTGGTTAAAAGAGATGGTGATAAGATTCTTATGATTCAATAGTGTGTAATTATTATCATGACTAATTGTGACTGTCACAACTGTAAAGGTAGAAGTTTTGTAAGAAAAACAGGGAGTAGTTAATCTTACAGTCCGGAAACATAGAATCCTAGGAGAAGAGCACAAATGGAATGTGGGACCCTATCCAGAGAAGCAGTGATACCCCAGATGGAAGCAGAGATGTGGACATGGGGAGAGGGAGCAGCTGAGGACTCTAAATTCATGGAATTAGAGGGACTGAGAGCTAGCAGGCTTGCAGAATGTGCCTTTTGGTGGTTTAAATTATTAAACATGCCTGAGTGTTTTTTTAAAAAAAGAGCTAAAATGAATTGAGAGAAATACTGTTAACTGATGGAGGGGATTATAATCATTGTAATGAAACAAAGTATATGATTTGTTGGATATAAAACTGATGATCTGCCCTGTAAACTTTCACTCAATTCGTAATAAAAACTTTTTAATTAAAAAAAAGTAGCAAAATGATCATATTATTTGGAAGTATGGAGAATCCATGAAAGAGTTGAAAAGTACTTTCCTTGAGAAAAGGGGAAATGTGTGTGTGGAGATCGTTGTTTTTTATAATAAGTCTGTTGGAATTATTTTGCTCCTCAAACTATGTGCAAAAAAATGATACTAAAAAAATACTAAATGCCAAATAATAAATTTAAAAGAAAAAATTTAAGGGGTTTTGTCAACTGGAAGAAAGTATTGGAAGGCTTGGGATGATAGAAAGTGCTATATCATAATCTTCTTGTTAAGCAACCCTGTATAGGGTTTCCAAGGAGTTGCTGGTAAGTTTGAACTGTCAACCTTGTAGTTCAAACCGATCTTGCAAGAGTGCTTATCCTACAGCTCCACACCAGGACTCCTGGTGGTGGTTAATCTGCACTTTTGTTGTTGTTGTTGTTGTTAAGTGCCGTGGATGGAGTCTATTCCCACTCATAGTCACCCTTTAAGGATTTCTGAAATTGTAATCTTTGTGGGAGTCCTGAGGTGGCGCTGTGGGATAATGCACTGGACCACAAGGTCAATTTGAACTGCAAGGTCAGTGGTTCAAATTCATCAGCCACTTCTTGGAAACCCTATACCAGATCACTATGAGTCGGAACTGACTCGATGGCACTTAATCACAACAACAATTTTTATGGGCACAGAAAGCCTCAGATGTAAAAATTTATTATTCAAGATTTGTGTGCTTATTACACGTAGTTATACTTCAAATTTTTTTAAGAAAAAAGTTATTCTGTTCTGTTAAGAGGAAGTTGTATTTTACAGTGATGTGTTAGTCAGGAAATTTATAGCCTACTTGCTTATCCAAACATACCAACTCCACCCCATCCAACCCCAATCCTAGGGAAAAAGGAAGTGAAAATGCAAACAGAAGATAAATAGGATAGTATGATTCTTTTTGTATTTATTTAACCCCAAATTCTGTGTATGTGTGAAGTACTTGTCCTTTGGCTTGTTTTCCTTTGGAGGATGAGCTATGGTTATTCTCATTGTTAACTTTAGACTTTTACATTTCTGTAAAAGCGTAAAGCCTTTGTGATAAAAATAAAATAAAACCAAACTCTTTAGCCTCCATTTTCCACTTACACAGCAAAACAGAAGGGATCAGTACAAATAAACATAATAATACTCAATTAATTGTGGAGAGAGACTTTGCCACCCAGAGAGAAATGAGTAGACAGCAGTCTTCAGCTTTATCTACAACCTCTGGTGGTGTAGTGGTTATGAATCAGGTTGCTAATCTCATGGTCAGCAGTTCGAAACTACCAGCTGTTCCAAGGGAGAAAGATGAGGCTTTCTGTTCCCGTAAAGATTTACAACCTCGGAAACCCTATACAGGGTCACTATGGGTCGGAATCAACTCAATAGTATTTAACAGCAACAGGATACATAGGTGTATGCATTTGTCAAAACGCATTGAAAGGCTAAAAACACTAAAAAAAGTGTGCATTGCATGGTCTGTAAATTTCAACTTAAAAAAACTGTAAGCAAATATCGAATCCTAGTAAATACACATGCTGAAGTTTAGGTGGAAAGTGAACAGAAGCCACGACTTGCTTTTAAGTGCATTAAATTTTATATAAAATAGAATAACAGATGGATATGAAATAATAAATATAGTAAAATGTTCATTATAAATTTTAGGTGATAGATATATCAGTGTTCATGATACAATTCATTTTACTTTGCTGTATATTTTAAAGATTTTCAAATAAAATACAAAATAATCTATTGATACCTGGAGTTCCAACCCCAGAATACTGGAAGCAGAACGCCTATTGGCGGGGTCTAGTCCCTGAGTGATGCCAGCAATTTGCACTTGGCAAGTCCTGGTGTAGCACTAGACCACAAGGTTGTTTTGAACTGTAAGGTTGGTGGTTTAAACCCATTAGCTGCTCCTAAGAGACTCTATACAGGGTTACTATGAGTTGAAATTGAACTGATGGCACTTAACAACAATAACCTAAAGTTCAAACCCACCCAGTAGTGTCAGAGAAAAAAGCCCTAGAGGTCTGCTCCCATAAAAATTATAGCAAAAAAGAAACCCTATGGAACCGTTCCATTCTGTAACACACAGGGTTGCCATGAGTCAGAACTGACTTGATGGCGTCAGGCTTGGGAGGGGCAGGGTTATGTGTGTCTTGTTAGTGGGATCCAAACATCTGTTTTTGTTTTTGTTTATTTAAGACCTTCCGGTGATTTGAATGTGTTGGCAGGGTTGTACCTTTGGAGTGGGGGTACAGAGAGAGAAAGACCATGAGAAAAATGTGAGGCTGGAAAAGAGCCAGAGATTGAGGGCAGTAACAGAAGTAGTCTTAGTCAACTGCAGTGAGAAAGAATACCGCACAGATGAGATGGAACCACTCTGTGAGGGTCTCTCCACACCATGAGCTCCATGTGGCAGGAAACAAAGAGCCAATTTAGAGAGGAAACTAGTTGTGGAGACCACAAGATGCAGGGTGATAACCCATTAGGTTAAAAAGGCCATATAATTTACAATACTCAGTGTAAAAGAAAAATATAAAGCCCTCTTGTTCAAAAATCATTAAGAATTTCATGATGGGAATAACAGAGCATTAAACCAAGTGCCGGGCCCTATTAAGAGTGGGGTCCTGTTTGGCCCAAACATCTCGGGATGTGGGACTTTAAGTGTTCAAAATTCTCATGACCGACGAGAACTGTAATTCGAAAGAAAGGAACTACATCCCAACACATCCAGCTTGCCGTTGAGCATTGCTGATCCTGTCTTTACTAAAGTGGAGGTGATGACCCCCCTCCACCCACCCATGTACATCCTACATTGTGGGGAGAATTAACTAGAGACTTTGAGACTTTTGTGAAGTGTGTGTCATTATTTTTGAAAGTTCTGCAAAGGAATCCTGGGAGAACTGATCTAGCAGGGGTGGAAGCATTGTATTAGAAGGCAGCTAAATAAAACAGCTATGGCTTATGACAAGGACAGTAACCAGACCTCACCTGGCTGTGGGAGGGGCTGATGTCCAGCCCTGATGCTCCATGAAATAGGTAGACAGCGCCTTGGTTCTCCTGCTCCCCTGGCGCCCCGATGGCCACATCCGTCAGCTTGTCCCCATTCACGTCCCCCAGTACTGTCAGGGCTGCCCCAAAGCGGGCCCAAGGATGTCCTTGCTCCCCGCGGAGAACAGCCCGGCATTCCCAGCTAGCCCGCTGCAGAACAAAACCAGTGCCAGTCTCCAACTGGGGCAACTCCTCCATCCTACAGTGAGGCCAACCCAGTCCAGGTCCCTGTCGTCAGTCACTCACCCTCTGAGGCAAGGGGCAGACAGACACCTGGCCTCCCCGGGTCTGCTCGTAGTAATGGGGGGCCCCAATAAGGACCAGGTCAGTGTTGCCATCTCTGTCCACATCCACAGAGCAGAGGGAGGCCCCGAAGTAGGAACCGATCTGAAATGAGATGGAGCTAAGATCACATACCTCCTCCCACTGAAAATGAAAGCGAGTGGAGGGCAATGATAGAGATGGGAAGGATTTCTGGGGTGATTCTCTACATAATTCATCTTACAAGTTCACTTGAATGTGCTGCCAGCTAGAGGAGAATATGATGTAGTCAGTGAACCGTGGGTGAGGATTTGCCCCAAATAGTCTTCCAGGGAGATTAAAGCAGCATAACATAAATTGGATTGTATGATACAGAGAGAAAAGTCTGGAAGGACAGACAGAATAAGCTTTCAATATCTTGAAAATCCTTTGTTGTTGTTGTTGTTGTTGTTAAGTGCTGTCAAGTTGGTTCCGACTGATAGCTACCTTGTATAGAGTTTCTGAGACTTTATATCTTTATGAGATCAGAAAGCCTCATCTTTCTTCCGCAGAACTAATAGTCTGAGAATTTGGACTATATGAAGAAGAACATGGCATCAGGACTGGAAACTCTATATCTTGACTGTGGTGCTTGCTACATGAGTTTATGCATTTGTTAAAACAATAAAAATGTTATGCATTAAACTGTACATGCCTTTGTTGTTGGGCTGTATCAGTGAGACCACCTTAACAGTATATGGGGCAGAAATCAGGTTTCAGTTACTAAAGAGATGTCATTTCAAACTGGGACAAATTCTAGGAAGGAAAAATGCAAATGCATCAAGCTATGACCCCCTGAAACCTGATTTGGTTACATATGTGACAAAGGACTTATATCCAGAATAAGAGGAGAGTTTTGTTTTGTTGGTGGTGGTGGTTTTTCTACCAATGGATGTTGATTGTTTCAGCACTATTTGCAGAAAAGACTCTCCATCAAATTATCTTTACACTTTTATTGGAAATCCCATGACCATATATGTTCCGTCTTTTCCATTCTATGCTCCACTGCTCTATGTGTCTACCCTTTGCCGATGTCACGTTCTTGATTACTATAGCTCTATACGAAGTCTTAAAATCGATAGAATTTCATCTTAGAGTCACAATCATTCATGGAAGCAGCAGTCAAGCATTCAAATGACAGTGCATTTGAAGAGCAAATCTGCTTCAAAAGACCTTTTTGAAGTGTTAAAAAAAAAAAAAAAAAGATGTCACTTTGAGGACTAAAGTGCACCAGAGTATGTTCACTTGCATCATATGCATGGTACATGAGGCAGCAAACAGAAAACCAAAGAAGAATTGATGACTTTGAACTATGGTGCTGGTGAAGAAAAATGCGCCATGGACGCAAATGAAGAACGAACAAATCTGTGTCGGAAGAAGTATAGTCAGAATGTTCCATAGAAGGAAAGATGGTGAGACTTTGTCGTATATACTTTGAATATGTCACCAGGAGGGGCAAATCCCTGGAGGAGGACATCATGCTTGGTAAAGTAGAGGGGCAGTGACAAAGAGGAAGGCCCTCAAAGAAATGGATTCACATAGTGGCTGTAACAATGGACTCAAACGGAGGAATGATTGTGAGAATGGTGTGGGACCAGGCAGAGTTTCATTCTGTTGCACACATTCTGTTGGAAATGTCTCACTCGATGGCACCTAACAGCTTTTTCTATTCTGGACACTTCATATAAATGAACTCACACATTGTGTTATCTTTTGTGAGTGGTTTCTTTCACTTGGTGCTAATGAGTATTGTAGGATATCTCAGCACTTTACTCTTTATTATCAAGTGATATGCCATTTATGGATATACGACACTTTGTTTAACCATTCACCAGTTGGACTCTTGGTATGGTGCTGTAGGCTAAGCACTGCACCATAAACCACAAAGTTGGCAGTTCAAACCTATCAGCTGCTCTTCAGAAACCCTGTACAGAGTCACTATGAGTTGGAATCGACTCAACGACACTTAACAACAACAACATTCATCAGCTGATAGGCAGTTGGGTTACTTCTACTTTTCCTCTGTTATAAATAATGCTCCTTTGAACACGCTCATATGCAACTTTTCGTGTGGACATACGTTTGCATATCTTTGGGGGAATATATCTAGGCATAGAATTGCTAGGTCATACAGTAACTGTGCTGGACATCAACGTCAATTTGAGCCACAAGATCAGCAGTTCAAACCCACCAGCCACTCCTCGGAAACCCAATACAGGGTCTCTATGAGACAGAACTGACTCAACAGTGTTTAACGACAACAACAACAACATTCCAATGAGTGTGAAATAGTATCACATTGTGAGTTTTGTTTGCATTTCTCGAATAATTAATGCCTTATTGAATATTGCATTGGGTAAATCTGCTGCAGAAGATCTCTTTAAAGTATTGAAGAGCCAAGAAGTCAGTTTGAGGACCAAGGTGCACCTGACCCAAGCCACGGTATTTTTCAATAACCTCATATGCATGCGAAAGTTAGATAATGAAGAAAGAAGACCATAAAAGAATTGATACATTTGAGTTATGGTGTTGGAGGAGAATATTGAAAATACCATGGACTGCCAAAAGAACCAATAGTCCCAGAGTGCTCTTTGGAAGCCAGGATGGCCAGACTTCATCTCTTATACTTTGGATATATTGTCAGGAGGGGCCAGTCATTGGAGAAGGAGATCATGTTTGGTAAAATGGAGGGTCAGAGAAAAAGAGGAAGACCCCCAATGAGATGAATTGGCACAGTGGCAGTAGTAATGGACTCAAGTGTATCAATGATTGTGAGGTTGGCCCAGGATCGGGCAGTGTTTCCTTCTGTTGTACATAAAGTAGTGATGAGTCGGTACGGATTCGATGGCATCTAACAACAATAATAATTAATGATGTTGAGTATCTTTTCATGGGATTGCTGACCGTTTGCATAACTTCCAGTCAGTCTTCCCCAACTGTTCGCACACACACAAAACAGAGAAGTAGCATCTCACCCACACTTCACTTCCTGGAATTCCCCACCCCTCCCTCTGACATAGCAGACATTGCCACCATCAACAGTTCATACGTGTTGATGAAATCTATGGAAAGACTATGTGAAGAACTTGACTATTAGCAAAGAATTAGGACAAGCTGCTCAGGTGTCAGGGCAAACTGGTTTCATCTACATATGATGCATAAATTGCAGGCCTGATTTTTTTTTTTTAATTAAAGGAACAGCCACAGAGCTAGATACACAATATTGTGGGTGCAGTTTTGTCTTAGGGATTTGCAAGGAAATTTTTGAATAAAGATTTTTCCTTCACATACCAGATTCCAGATAAGGTTCAACCACACTGATTGTACAAGGATAACAGTCAAAATATTTCAACAGCTGTGGCTGCAAAGTCAGTGCCCAGTGGTTTTGCTGGAGCAAGTCTTAGAAGGCTCCCCTGACCAGTTCTTAAGAGGTATCCTCCTCCCTGACCTCATATTGCTAAGTCATGGAGACATCCTAAATGTTCTGGGGATGGGGCCAGAGTTCCTGTGGCAGGGGGAAGTATCTCAGGGAAGTAGTTATTTCTTACAAGATAGAGCAATATCTTAATAGTTTAGTATTTACCATGACTATACTGGTTATGGACTGATTGAATACCAGCGCTGGGTACAGGGGAACTGACTGGGAGCTCTATACAAGCCAAGTTTTGTTATGTATCGTGAGAAAAGTGGAGGACAACATTTCCAAATGCAAAGCTGATGCTGTGACTGTCCAGGTCAAAATGTCGGCAGACATTTTTACGGTGTTCTGCCATACATCACATGTGGCAATGCCTACTGGGCACTCCTCAGCCCCCGCGGAGGCTCTGCACATTCATGCTCCACAAACTCCACACTCACCTGGGTCCCATTGATAACAGCACTGGTCTTCCAGCTCCCAGCATTCTGTTTGAACATCACCACCAGGCCAGTGTGCTGATATCGAGGTGCCCCCAGAACCAGACTCTGTACCTTGTTTCGCGAAATGACCTCGGAAGCATAACCTGAAGACAGTGGTCTAAGAGGAGAAGTGTTTTCCCTCGCAGACCCCACCCCCTCTCTACCAAGGAGGCCCATTCCTTGGATAGTGACAATGAGGTAGCCCAATGCATGGTAAGTTGGAGCCTCGGGTCCCCACACTATATTCTTCTTTGCAAACATAATTAAAATTAAATTTTGAAATGTTTGTCTTTCAAGCTATCCCAAGGGCCTGTGAAATGTCTAATGACATCCACACTAATTGAATTACACTACATCCTACTTCTTTCTTAGAATAACACTTCCCTCCTCACTCACCCAAATAAGCATCATTCATGTCTGAATTCACCCTGGTTGTGTTGATGAAGGTGACTTCTCCCTTTGAAGTTCGCAAAAAACCTCCACCGGCCCAGTCAAAGCTCCCCACAGCACCCAGCAAGGGGCCATTCTGGGGAAGCGGTTAGAACAGAACTGGTGAGAAGGGAGAAGAGACCACTGCTACCCACCCAAGGAATTTCCCCCAACAGGAATCCACCACAGAGGACCCCTGAACTTTTGTGACCCTTCTTTCCCCCACAGTTTAATGGGAGACCACTTACAGAGGTGATGGCGGCACTGAAGCCTTCCTGAGACATCTCATACTCAAATGAGCTGTTGCTTCCTGTCTGAGTACCTGGAAGGAGGATAACGTTCTACATTAAAGAAAGAAGAAGAGTCTAGAAGAGGGGCTGGAAACTCAAATGCCTATGGTGACCAGAGAAAAAAAACCTCAAGATAGAAATTGTGTTGAACCAGAACATATACATCCCTTTCAAGGGGTGACTGCTATTCATCTCTACCAAGTGGCGATATGGTCCTTCAAGTGACTTACCTTTCAAATTTCCAAGGGAAGCCAGAAATATGAACTGTATATTAAACTCTCCAGTTTTAAATTCCTTTATCTATCAAAGATTTATTGAGTACCTTCTAGCTACTGGACATTGAGAACATAGAAGTAAACCAAACAGACAAATGTTGGCAATGCATCCAAATTTTTGGAAATAGTCTGCCTCTGTTGCTGCATGCCCCTGAGTCAGCTCTGACACATATATTGACCCTGTATAGGGTTTCCAGGACTGGAAATCTTGATGGAAGCAGAAAGCAGCTGGTAGATTCAAACTGCTGAACTTGGCAGTTTGTCCTCCAACTTTCAGCCTACAGGCAAGACTTGCAACATTAGAGAGGTTAGATTCTTCAGTTTCCAATAGATGACTAGGAACTAGAGGAACTGGAGACAGTTGGTGTTGAGGGTCAGAATACCAAGGTCTGAAAGGTTCTAGTTTCTAGAAGGGACTGAGTGTTTGGGTAAGGGGCTGGCTCTGGAGCAGACTTGGGAACACAGAACGCTGACTCACCCTCAATGGCAAAGATTTTTTCTTGCAGCTGGTTTTGAATAGTCTTCAGAGCTTCAAAGTTATTTACCCGAAACACATGGTCAGAAGATGAATTGGATGCGATGGTATTCAGTTCTTGGTGAGATTTCTCACTGTTGAAGGCATCTCCCACCTGTCACCAAGGAAAACAAGGCAAATAAGATGCTGTCTAGGGCAGCAGCTCCATCCAGTAAAAAAAATTCTTCAGGAAAAAATGGGAAACATTATTTGTCAAATGAGAATCTGCATGAGAGGGCCCCTGGGAGAAGGCTGTCAGGTATATCGTTGGGCAAGTTGTATCCTGCACAAGAGCACTGTACAAGGAAGCAACTGGAGCTGAGATCCATCCAGGCTTCGGACCATTTGCTATGCCCTGCATTTTGATGCTGGTTTGATCTCTCCCAAAAAGAAGGGAAGTCTTTTTCTTGACAGCAAAGTGTTTTTGTTTGCCAACCCATTCACCCACAGGGATGTCTTTTTCTAATTTACACAAGGTGCTATGGGAGTTTGATTACACTGATGGCCCCAAATCTTAAATCTTTTCTGTCTCCAAGTCCTTTCCCTAAAACTTTGTACTTTCCTATGGTTGGTGAGATCAATGGTCACAATCATTGTCTCTGGACTCAGTTACGTTGTTACACCAGATGTTGTTAAATGTGATGAAAGCAGAGACTTAAAAATGCACTTGAACATTTCCACTGGCTCCTTTGTTCTTTGCCTTCACCATTAAGACATGCACAGGACAATCCATTAAAGATGAGATACAAGAGGCAAAGCCAAGTCACCTCTGTTGTCCTAGTCAAAGTCAAAGTCATTCTAGTCCAACAGAGCTAGAAACCTCCAGACAAGTGACAGAAGTCAGCCAAGACCAGCAGATTGTTATTGTTGTTAGGGTCCATTGTGTTGGTGCCGACTCATAGCAACCCTATGCACAACAGAATGAAACACTGCCCAGTCCTAGGCCAACCTCATAATCACTGTTACATTTAAGCCCATTGCTGCTGCCACTGTGCCAATCCATCTCATTGGGGGTCTTCCTCTTTTCCTCCTACCCTCCACCTTACCAAACATGATATCCTTCTCCAGGGACTGGTCCCTTCTGACAGTATGTCCAAAGTATGAGAGACAAAGCCTGGCCATCTGGCTTCCAGGGAGCATCCTGGCTGTACTTCTTCCAACACAGATTGGTTTGTTCTTTTGACAGTCTATAATACTTTTAATATTCTCCAACAACACCATAACTCAAATGCATCAATTCTTCTGTGGTCTTCCTTATTCACTGTCCAACTGTCACATGTATATGAGGCTATTGAAAATACCATATCTTGGGTCAGGCACACCTTAATAATCAAACTGACATCTTTGCTCTTCAACACTTTTAAAAAGATCTTGTGCAGCAGATTTGCCTAATGCAATACGTCATTTGATTTCTTGACTGCTGCTTCCATGAGTGTTGATGGTTGATCTTAGCAAAATGAAGTCTTTGACAATTTCAATCTTTTCTCCATTTATCATGATGTAATTTATTGGTCCAGTGCAGAGGATTTTTGTTTTCTTTATATTAAGGTGCAACCCATACCAAAGGCTGTGGTCTTTGATCTTCATCAGTAAGTATAAGTCCTCTTTGACTTCAACAAGCAAAGTTGTACCATCAGCATATTGCAGGTTGTTAATGAGTCTTCCTCCTTTCCTGATGTTTTTCTTCATATGATCCAGCTTCTCAGATTATTTGCTCAGTATACAGTTTAAACAAGTATGATGAAAGAATACAGTCCTGGTACAACCTAGGGCTGTGCACACCGTTCAGTGTTCCCATGTTCTGTTCGAACTGCCCCTTGGTCTATGTACAAGTTCCTCATGAGCACAATTAAGTGTTCCAGAATACCTATTCTCCACTATGTTGTCCATAGTTTGTCATGATCTACACACTTGAAAGCCTTTGCATAGTCAATAAAGCAAGATAAACATCTTTCTGGTATTCTCTGCTTTCAGCCAAGATCCATATGGTGTCAGCAATGATATCCCTCATTCCAGATCCTCTTCTGAATCCGGCTTGAGCCTCTGGAAGTTCTCTGTCAATGTATATGCTTGCAGTTGTTTTGGAATTATCTTCAGTAAAAATTTGCTTGTATGGGATATTTATGATATTGTTCTATGATTTCTGCATTCCATTGGGTAACCTCTCTTTGGAATGGGCACAAACATGGATCTCTTCCAGTCAGTTGGCCAGGTTGGGTTGTTGTCTTCCAAACTTCTTAGCATAGATGAGTGAGTGCCCCCAGTGCTGCATCAGTTTGTTGAAAGATTTCTATTTGGATTCCATCCGTTCCTGAAGCCTTGTTTTATGCCAATGCCTTCAATGCATCTTGGACTTCTTCCTTCAGGATCATTGGCTCTTGATCATATGCTACCTCTTGAAATGTTTGTACATTAATCATTTCCTTTTGGTATAGTGACTCTGTGTATTTCTTCCATCTTTTTTTGATGCTTTCTGCATCATTCAATATTTTGCCCATAGAATCCTTCAATATTACAAATCAAGGCTTGATTTTTTTTTTTTTTTCTGTTCCCTTTCCCTCAGCTTGAGGAATGCTGAACATGTTCTTTCCTTTTGGTTTTCTAACTCCAGGTCTTTGCACATTTTGTTATAATATTAGACTTTTTCTTCTCGAGCTGCCTTTTGAAATTCTCTATTCATCTCTTTTACCTCCTCATTTTTTGCATTTGCTTTAGCATCTCTGTGTTGGAGAACAAGTTTCAGAGTCTCTTCTGACATCCATTTTGGACTTTTCCTTCTTTCTTGTCTTCTTAATGACTTTTACTTTCTTCCTGTATGATGTTCTTGATGTCATCCCACAACTCTTCTGATCTTCAGTCTTTAGTGTCTAGTGCCTCAGATCTGTTCTTCAGATGATCTCTAAATTCAGGTGGGATGTGTACATATTTTGGCTCTCATGGACTTGTTTTAGTTTTCTTGAGCTTCAGCCTGAACTTGCATATGAGCAATTGGTGCTCTGTTCCACAATCTACTTCTGGCCTCTTTTGGCTTTTCCACTCTCTCTTTCCACAGATGTAGTAAATTTGATTTCTGTATATTTCATATGGTTAGGTCCATGTGTCATCTTTTACGTTGTTTAAAAAGGGATTTGCGATGAAGTTATTTGTCATTTGTCTTACAAAATTCTATCATGCTATCTCCAGCATCATTTCTTTTACCAAGGCCATATTTTCCAACTACTGATCCTTCCTCTTTGTTTCAACCTTTGCATTCCAATCACCAGTAATTATTAATAATTACTTAATTTCAAGTTTGGCAGATTTCAGACTGAAGAAGTTGGTAGAATTCTTCAATTTCATCTTCACTGGCTTTAGTACATAAATTTGAATAATAACTGGATTAACTGGTCTTCCTTGTAAAAGTATGAATATTATCTTATCACAGACAGCATTGTACTTCAAGACAGATCTTGATATGTTATTTTTGATGATGAATGAAATGTCATTTCTCTTCAATTTGTCATTCCCTGCATAGTAAACCATGTGATTGTCAAATTCAAAATGGCCAATGCCAGTCCATTTCAGTCTAGGAGATCAAAGCTTATCCCATTTCACTTTTGACAAGTTCCAATTTTCCTAGATTCATACTTTGTACATTCCATGTTCCAATTGTTAATGAATGTTTACAGATGTTTCTCTTCATTTTGAATTGTGCCCTATCAGCAAACAAAGGTCCCAAAGGCTTTACTCCATTAGTGTCATCACAGTCAACTCTACTTTGAGGAGGTAGCTCTTTCCCAGTTGTATTTTGAGCACCTTTCAACCTGAGGGCACTCATCTTCAGGCACTATATCTGACAATATTCTGATGTTCTGCATCATGTTTCAATAGTCAGTATTCTGGTATTGAGAGTGTTTCACTGTTATTCATAAAGTTTTCAGTGACTAAATATTCAGAAGTAGTCCATCTCTCCTTCTTCCTAGTCTGTCTTTGTCTCGAAGCTCAGATGAAACCTGCCAAGAGTGGGTGACCCTGCTGGTATTTAAAATACCCGTGGCATAACTTCCAGCATCACAGCAACACACAAGTCACCACAGTATGACAAAGTAACAGTATGACAAAGTATGACAAAGTGGTGGTTCCAACCTGTAGCTGAATAGAAATGCCTGAGAGAACCCAGCTAAGATCAGAAAAATTGACCATCTGGCCTTCTGGCTTACTTACTGTTTTAAGCCACTGAATTTTGGATAGTTGGTTAAATAACGTAACCGTGATGCTAGAGGACAAATACAGATATACATATATGGTTACTAGCTGTTACCCTTGCCCTGCTCTAATTCATTGATATTTGCAAATTAAAAGAAGGGTGTATCAAAAATTGTCCACAGAACATCAGATCCAAGAGTCACATTTCCTACCCCAATGACATAGCGGATGATCCCTTTTTTCTCTGCCTTGGGAATCACATCTTTGTATTCCAAGGAATCACCAAACTTTTCCCCATCTGTGATGACCACTAGGATCTTAAGGGCATTCTTCCGGGCCCCACTGCTGTCTTGAAACAGTTCATTTCTGTCCAGGAAAGAGGAGAGACAAAGTCAAATGCAAGTAGATAGAGATACTATCAATGCTCAGGAAGAAATGTCAGTTGAGTTACAGACACAGATACAGCTGGACTTGTCTAGAAGCTGTCCTGAAATGTGGAAGGGTAGGAAAGTTGGGGAGAGACGCATTCTTGCCTTTGTATTATTTTGCATAGTTTGATTTCTTTAGAATTACTATCAATAACTTTAAATTTTAAAAAATAAGAAGAAAGACGCCATGATCAAGCGTCTCCTAAAACACTACCACTTCTCTCCAGCTTGTCCTCTTGGACTTTGTATCAGCCTTCACCATCATCTCTGCACTTGAAATCAGAATGAGCATTCCAATATGCAGATGTGCTGATGTTTCCCGGTTATCTAGCATTTTCAATGGATCCCCACTGACTGAGACATCAAATACTAACCTTCTGATTGTATTTCGTGACCTGACCTCAACCAACCTTTCTAGCCTCCCTCGTCACCTACCCCATACATTCTCCCTTTACTCACAACTTGGGTTTTGTTTTTTTTCAAAAACATTTCATACACAGTCATTCATGGTGTTCCCTCCACCAGAAAGGAAGCAGGGCAGATCTTACACTACTTTGAGGATTCCTGTGGCAGTGTATGTCCTCCCGTACAGCTGTCTTATTGGCTCCACCAGTGAATTTGGGTTAGAATTACGGTTGAAATCATTGAAGGTAAAATGAGTCTGGAAGTCATCAGAGTACTGCATCAAAGAGAACTGGGAACAAGCATCCAGTATTAGATGGAGTAAGTGTCCCACCACCCCTTTAGACATATCTCATCCAAGAAAAAGTGTTGTTCACCCAAGCAAGTCTCACATCAATATTAAAACACCCAGGCATCAAATGCCTTCTCTCCAGTGCACTTCCATCCCTCTGCCTCACCAAGACAGAGAGATGCTTTATAGCTCCCACCTCTCAGTAACAGAATTCAACCAGAGAGGACATGTGGGTTTCATTATCCAACCCAACCTCTATTCATTGGTCAGGATTGCCTTCACATAACGCTGAAATAATGCTGAGGCTGCATCCAGACACAATCAGAAAAGAGAGAAAGAGAATCATGAAAGAAAACCTTGATGGAGTGGCAATATCTGCAATAGAAGGAGGAGATGACTCGTTGGTGCTCACCGAGGTTTTGGGCTTTTTGAATTGGCCCATCACAGTTGAAACAAACTCTTTCATCCGCTGAAAGTCTCTTGGGTTGATGCTACCAGAGCCATCAATCAAAAAGACGATGTCACTCTCCTGTTGAGGACATTCTGGGCAAGAGGGAAAAGAATATGGATTGATTATTAAAGAAGTAATTAAATGTTTAGAGAGTCAATGGTCAATTTTTTGCATGTCAACTCTACTGAGCACCAAGGGTAAAAGGATAACTAAGCCACAATCCAGGCTCCAAGCAAAGCAAACCATAAACAAAGAGGAAACCAGGGAAAGCAGTGATATTTGAGCTGGATCATGAAGAACAAGAAACAATTGTCCAGGTATATGAAAGGAGTCCTCTTGGAAACCCTATACAGTGTTGCTATGAGTCAGAACCAACTCAATGACACACAATAACATGAAAAAAAAAACAAGTTACAGACAAAAAGAACATAGCACATATGAAACTGTACTGGATGTCTTCCTCTGCCCATTCTCAACTTTTCTTCCTGCTTTTCTTCACCCTGTCCTGTGACCCAAGAGAATGGTCCACAAGGATCATATCAGCACGGCACCCTCCTCCTTGGCTTAGTTTATCATTGGATTTGTCCAATTAGATGCCTCAGCAGGAGACTGAAGGGAGAGAGAAGAGTGAGATCATGGTATTCTCCCCTTGGCTCTCTCCCTTGTGGGGTTACCTTAGGTCACTGTGTCCTTGACTCTCTCCTTCTGGGTTCTGATGAACTCTCCTCATATCTTATCAACCAACCAAGGAATGATAACAGCTCTTTAGTTGCTGGCCCTAAGTTCCCTTGCATCTCCCTTAGATCTTACCTCCACCTTAATAATTAGTCTCTTTGAAAATGAACCTTCTTTGAATTTATGTAATTGGAGAGTGTCATTTGTTAGGGTTGGGACTCTGACTGACATAAGGGAATTGTTGTTTGTAATTGAGATGGTTTCAACTCATAAGAACCATATATAGGATTTTCAGGCAGCAAATGGTAGATTGGAACCACCAACCTTGCAATTAGCAGTCCAGTGCTTTATCCTGCAACACCACACCAGGACTCCAAAAAGGGAATGTTGTTGTTGTTGTTGTTAAGTGCCATCAAGTCAGTTGCGACTCATAACAACCCTATATAAGGTTTCCGAGGAGTGACTGGTGAGTTTGAACCGCCGATCTTGAAGTTCAAACCTGCATTTCAGTCTAAACGCATTCTCCTGTGGAGCCACACCGGTACTCCATAAAGGGAATGCTGTAGTTAAGTGCCGTAGAGTCAGTTCTGACTCACAGAAACTCTTTATAGGGTTTCCAAGGAACAGCTGGTGGATTTGAACCACTGACCTTGCAGTTCAAGCCAACCTTGTGGTCCAGTGCTTTATCTTATTCCCACAAAGGGAAGGGGGGGGCATTAGAATATTCTAGCAGAATCCATAAATGGAAATGGCACTAAAGGGTTAAATTTGTGTGATGGGAATGAAGACCAAGTGATAGCATTAAGCAAAGATTCCATTAGGAAGCACTTCTGTGCCCCAACAAGTTTAGCTGTCCTTCAGTCAGTGGGAGCTACTAAAGTGTCTTAGAAAAGAGAGTGACAGGGTTTATCTTGTATTTTAGGAAATTTTCCATAACAGTGAGGGATTTATAACAGCTCTATTCAGGATTAAAGGAGCTCTGATAACATAGTGGTTATGAATAGGGCTGCTAACCTCTGGATCAGCAGTTCGAAACTACCAGCTGTTTCACGGGAGAAAGATGAAGCTTTCTGCTCCTGTAAACATTTACAGCCTCAGAAACCCTGTACAGGGTTGTTATGAATCAGAACCGACTCCACGGCACATACTAACAACAACAACATTCAGGATTAGGGAGTGTGGTGGCTCTATAGGATAAGCATTGAACTGGGAACCAATAGGTAGGTGGTTCGAGCCCACCAGCAGCTCTATAGGAAAAAGACATGATTTGGGACTCCCACACAGATATAGCCTTGGAAAACATACAAGGTCACTATAAGTTGGAACAGCACTTAACAATAACATTCAGATTGTCAAATGCTGAACCAACCTAAACATCCTTCAGTGGGAACGGTATTGTGATAAAACAATGAAAAATTGCATGGCCTATCAACTTGCATGAATCTCAGATACTGTATTCTAGATGAAAGAAGCCAATTCCAATTAGACAACATTCTTGAAAAGACAAAACTAAAGTGGTGGAGAACAAATCAGTGGCTCTCAGGGACCTGGGATGGGTGGAGGTAGGGTTTGATTGACTATGAAAGGGTAGATGAAGGAGGTCTTAGGAGGGTGATAGAATTGATTCTGGTGGTGATTACACAAATCTATACATAATTAAAATTCATGAAACTGTATACTAAAATAAAAGTCCATTTTACTATGTAGAATTCAAAAAATACTTTTGCCAAAAGGAGCACTGATTGTATGTGTATGTGTGTGTGTGTGTGTGACAGGCAAGCAGATTCTAACATTTATATATAGAAAATATACAAAGAAGAGTAGGCAGAAAAGTTAACATCAAAGATATGATGTTAAGTGAAAAAAAAAAAACAAAAAAAATCAAGGCACAGAACAGTGTGTATAGCATGATGGTGGTGGTGGTGTGCCGTGAAGTCAGTTCCGACTCAAAGAGACCCTATATATGGTTTCCGAGACTGTAAATCTTTACAGAAGCAGAAAGTTTCATTTTTCTCCATTGGAATGGCTGGTAGTTTTGAACTACTGACCTTGAGATTAGCAGCCCACCTCATAACTACTACACTACCAGAGCATGCTGCCATTGGTAACCAAAGTATGAAGAACACAGACAAAAGCAAGGGAGCAGCAATCTCCACTGAGTAGTATCCAATCTGTCAAGGTGGGGCTGATGAAAGGAAATGCAGATAGGTCTCTTGTGATACAATAGTGAATAATTGCTATCAGGACTGCTTGTGAGGATTGGAAATGTAAAGGTAGATGTTTTGTAGTAAGGAGGGGAGTGATTGACTTTGCAGTCTAGGAGCAGAGGTCCCTGAGACCATCAAGGAAGAAGAGTGGAGAGCGGGACCCTACCCAGAGAAGCAGTGATGCCAGAGATGGAGGCGGAGATGATGAAGTGGAGAGATGGAGCAACTGGGGACTTTAGACCCAGAGAGGGAGAGGGGCTGTGTGCTGACAACCGGGAGGCAGGCTTGTAGTGTATATACCCTTTAGTTGGTTGATGATGCATGGAGGGGGTTGTAAGCATGGCAATGAAATGATATACCATAGGATGAATGTAAAACTAATGTTCTCACATGTAAACTATCACATAATTCACAATAAAACATTAAAAAAAAAAACCAAGGGAGCATCTCTGAGAGAGAAGACACAAGAAAGTACTTATAATGACTACCTCTCAGGAAGGAAACAGGGCTCAGGAACCCAGAAGGAGGAAATGTTTACAATGTATCCTCCTTTGGTGCTTTTGGAGTTTTCAACAAAGAGCAGCATCACCTATTTTTAAATAAATGAATGTGCTTTAAAAGAAACAGCCTAAAACTCTTGAGAATGAGGGCTAAAGCGAGACATGTGAGGGAATGGCTGAAGTCACTGGACCGAATGAGAAAGATCATGCATTGTGCAAGAAAAGAAGTTGTATCCCCAGTCCCTCTGGTGAAATACATGAATCATACATTTGTCGATGCTGTTAAGTGCCGTCGAGTTAGTTCCAACCCATAATGACCCTGTATAGGATTTCCAAGGAGTAGTTGGTGAGCTTGAACTGCCAACCTTGTGGTTCAAACCAATTGCAGTCCTGTGCATTAACCCACAGTGCCACACCAGGACTCCTGAATCATACAGAGGAAGATGCTAAAGTAGGGTCATGTGATAGGAGTGCCAATGAATGGATAGGAATGATTAGAAAAGATGGTCAAAGAAGACCTCTTAATAGAGGTGACATTTGAACAGAGAAGACAATGTGTTGTCAGCCACCTGAGACCTGGGGGAATAGGATGTCAGGCTGAAGGAACAGTAAATGCAAAGGCCCTGAGGCAAGTACAAGTTTGATTGGAGAAGGCAGCCAGGGTGGCTGGAATACAATGACTGAGGTGCAAGTAATGAGAGAGAAGTGGACAGGACCCACACCACCTAGACCCTTGAAGACTATGGTTGTGAGACACGGACAGTGACTCTAAGTAATTGTGACATCTGTGAATCAGGGGCAAAACTCCTTCTTTCACCAAGGTTAGAGTTGTGTTGAAGTACAAAACCCTAGCACCTCCCCCAGTATCTCTAGAGTAACCCAGTTCCCTCACTCTCCCATATCTAGACCTCTAAGTCACTCCCCCAGACTATGAACAGGTCCTCGAACCTCCTGTCTCATGCTGCCCACAAGCTACCCTCTGTCAAAAACAACGTACCTTTCAGGGTCTCAGGAAACCTCTGGGGCTGCTGGAGTAGGTTGGATCCAAACAGGAAGCAAAAGCCATTCACATAGGTGTTCTCCTTGCAGCTTTGGTGCACAGTGGGACCACAGGCCTGGGAAGCAGTGTGCCAGTTAGAGGAGCTGCCCCTGCTTTCTCTCCCTTTGCTCCACCATCTGCACCCTCCAGGAGATCCCTGGTCCCAGTGCCTCTGGTCTCCAAACTCCTGCCATAAATACCCTCCCATGACCCAGGTCAACTTACCAGCAGCTGGGAGGGGCTGGTGGTAGATGCCAAAGACAGACCCAAAGACATATTCACAGCCTCTAAGGGAACTGAAGAGACAGATATGAACACAGTTACCCTCTCAGTGGCATGAAAGGAGCAAATGTGGGGCTGTGGAGAACTGATATGGGACCATCTCAGCCCTGGGAGACATGGCAGGTAAGCAGGACATTTAGATCATAGGAAAGAAACATGAAGAGGTTGTCTGAAGGCATCTGGGGTAGAGTCTTCAGAACACACAAAAGACTGGTAACAGGAATCCTTAGCCCACCACTGCAGGCCCTTCCTCCTCCCTCTCTCCCTGTCCAGCACAGGAGTGCCCAGTCAGTTGAATCCAGGTATATGTACAAGTGGGACTTTGGCCTTGGGTCCCAGGCATAGGCAGTGACTTACCCTGCAGGGGGATAGGATGGCACATGCCTATGCTGTAGTCACACTGGTAGAGGCCGCCAGTTTGGTTGGCAGATTTTATCTCCTGGGGGGCTCCAACCACTACCCTGGGGGGAGATGTGGGAACAGATCACCATGGGGACAAGTGAAAATAGTCACATGGGGGAAGGAGAACAAGTATAGAAGTTCAACAAGCCTGAGAAGTGTGGGTGAGCCAACCCTCACAGGGATTCTCCAGTTCCTAAGAGTAGGAGGCGAAAATCAGAGAAATAAAAACTGAGGAATTTTTAAATCTTGGGAGTAGGAAAGGCCCTTCTAAAAATAACACAAAAATCCAGATGTCAGTAAAAATTGGTGAATGTAAACACATAGAACTTCTAAATAAATGTCTACTGTAGTCCATCAGCCACTCTATAGTTGAAAGATGAAACTTTCTGCTCCCACAAAGGTTTAAAAGCCTTGGAGACCCTATACAGGGTCGCTGTATAAGGACACTATTCGTTGGAGAAGAAGGTAAGCAATTCATATCCCAGATTACTTTCCTCAATATACTGAAAGTCCTACAAACCGAAAAGGGGGGAAAAAAATAGCTCAATAGAAAACTTGGCAACAGATTTAAAAAAATGTGTTCGCATTTCTCATCACTCAAAAACAGAGAAATGCAGTTTTAAATTATATTGACAACTTCCAGCAAGATGGCAGATGAGGCAGACACGAAAAAACCTTCTACAGGCAAGCTTGCAGAATGTGCCCTTTGGTTGTTTAAATAATATCTACCTAAGTGTTTCTGTGTACATTCCCACCCCCACCCCACCCCCCAAAAAAAACCAACAGAAGGAATCGAAGCAAATACTGTTGAATGATGATGCATGAAGGGGATTGTAATCATTGCAATGAAATGATGAGTGTAAAGCCGATGTTCTCACATGTAAACTATCACTTAATTCACAATAAAAACTTAAAAAAAAAAAAAACACCCTTCTATAACAAGGATGCTGTTGTTAAATGCGTCGAGTCAGTTCTGACTCATAATTGTCCTGAATAGGTTTCCAAGGAGTGGCTGGTGAGCTTGAACCGCCAACCTTGAGGACATGCTGCTGCATGAAAGTTACTCAATCACAAAAGGACAAACATTTTATGAGACCAGTGTTGTAAAAAGTTAAGAAAACGTTTTCTTGTTAAAAGAAGCATTCTATGATAGTTATCGGGGATGGGAAATTATTCACTGGGTAGAGGATAGACCCGTGCTAACTTGGGTGATATTGTTGTGGTTATTAAGTGCCGTTGAGTCGGTTCCAACCCATAGCGACCCTGTATAGGGTTTCAGAGGAGCAGCTAGTGAGCTCGAACCACCGCCCTTGTGGATCAAACGGCTTTGCAGTCTGGCGCATTAATCCACAGCGCCACACCAGAACTTCAACTTGGGTAATAGAGAAAGCAAAATACAATGAAAGGGAGGTTGGCACAGGAAAAATGAAGGTTATGGAAAACACAGAAGGAGTGCACGAGTTAGAGGGAATAGAGGAAAATAAAGTTAACTGATGGCACTTCGTGTCATTACAATGCACTGATTGTAATGACATGAAGTGTTTGATTTGTTTAGATGTGTTCTGTAAACTTCATTCAGGTCACAATAAAAGATAATTGAAAAGAGAGAGAGAAAGCGGAGGTTTTCTAAGGATGATCAGGAAGCAAAAGAAAGGATCATTCTAGTCACAGTCTATGAAATCTACAGATGAATGACAATGAGGGCACATAGCCCACCTTCAGCAATGTGAAGTGTAGAATTAAAAAGAAGTGATCATTTTCATCTAAGAATGAAATTCAGAAGGGTTCGGAGAGACGGGGGAATGGGAACAAGAATCACAGGGATGTAGGCTGAGTGGGTATAGCCCACAAATATATAAGGATTTGAAAGAGGATATTTGTACATTACTATTGATCTTTGAGGCAAACACAGTTATGAATGTAGTGGAGCATAAAGCAGGCAAAATGCTGAAAACTTCCTAGATATTATCAAACATCTTAAGGCAATGTGTTGATGGACCTGGGGGCTCAAGACCATGGTCTCAGGGGACACCATGGTCAATTGGAATAACATAGTCCACAAAGACAATGTTCTACATCATGCTTGGGTGAGTAGCATCTGGGATCTTAAAAATTCATGAGTGGCTGTCTAAGGTGCAGCTATTGGTCTCTCCATGTGCAGAAGAAAGAAGAGCGATGAGAACTGAAGAGGCTTGGAATCAATTAGTCCAGTGGGCTCATGGAACATGTGAGCATCAGTCTCCATGACTGAGACCAGAAGAGCTAGATGGTGCCCAGTTACCACTACCAACTGCCTTGAAAGGGTCCCGAATCAAGTGGGAGGAAATGTGGAACTAAACTCAAATTTATTTGACAATAAAAATACTTTTTACAAAAGGTTTACTGGTCAGAATGATACTGGAGAAACCTTAGACTGGGGCCGTCAACCACCCTTGAGATTTAGAATGGCATTCACCCTCATATCCCAATTTTCAGCCAAGCAATAGATAGGCATACACGGAGGACAACAACTCTAGTAAGGTATGTTCTCCATGGAATGGTCAATCCTTCAAAACCAAAAGGACAACATTTTTCTAAGAACAAATTTGAGAAGGGATAGGAAGGTGGGTAGAATGCAAATAGGAACCACACGGAGGAGGTGGGATAACTCTTGTTGCATGGAGGAGATTGCAAACATAGAGATGAAACAAAGTGTATTACTTGTTGAACGTTAAGTTGATGGTCTTGTATATAAACCTTCACTCAATGCATAATAAAAAGTTAAGAAATAATAATAGGCACAGGGAACAAAGCAGGTGGGATAACTGATGTTACATAGAGGGGATTGCAATCATTGAAATGAAACAAGTATATGATTTGTTTAATGTAAAACTGATTATCTGCACTGTAAGACTTCACTCAATTCATAATAAAAGGTTTTTAAAATAAATTTTATAAAAGAGTATACAAACCCTTCCCCCCACCCCAAAAAAAAATGATCTTGAGAATTCCAACTGTTTTTTTTTTGTAGAGATGGAAAAGTTAATCCTAAAATTCAGATACATTGGGGGAAGGTAGAATCTCTGCTGAGTGGTTTTCAACCTTTCTAGACCCACTGGTGAAAGGAGATGTGGATAAGACTTTTGTTGTTCAATAGGGAGTTACTGTTATCGTGACTAATTGTAATTGTTGCAACTGTAAAGGTAGACGTTTTGTAGCAAAAGGAGGGAAGTGGTTGATCTTGTAGTCCAGGAGCAGAGGACCCTGGGACCATAAAAGGAGAAGAGAAGGAGTGTTTCAAAGAAGCAACAATGCCAGAGATGGAGGCAGAGACAATGACATGGACAGATGGAGCAGCTGGGAACTCTAGACTCATGGAAGGAGATGGGCTGTGTGCTGGCAGCCAGGGGACAGGCTTGCAGGGTATGCCCTTTGGGTGTTTGAATAATTGCATATCCCTGAAGGTTTTGGTGTACACCCAAAAAAAAAAAAAACAGAGGGAATAGAACGATGATGCATGGAGGGGATTATAATCATTGCAATGAAATGAAATACGATCGGATGAGTGTGAAGCTGATGTTCTCCTGTATAAACTATCACTTAACTCACATAAAAACTTTTTTTTAAAAATTCAGATA